AACCTCATGGGAAGCACCCCGCCTTCCTGTGGACCCCAGACCTGCCTTTGGGGCCTGATTAAAAAGGCTTTTTGATCAAAGGTGTCCTGCAAGAAGCTTGGGGACCAGCATTAGGTCCCCTTCAGAGACGCCCTCCCCTCCTGGGAATTTGGAAAGCCAAGGTCACCCCTGGGGAGGGCCGTGGGGTGGTGAGTCACGGGCAGGAATGCCCTGAGATAAGGGCCCAGGTGGGAGCCTTATCTGCAGTTTCTGGAACAGCCCCTGCCCCAGGTGCCTGGAACCAGGTCTGCCCCACAGTGCCACTGGGCAGCGTGGCATTTGCTCTGGCGATAAGCAGGGAGGGAGGCAGCATCCAGTGCCCGCGTCTGGGAGCAGTCCCAGGTCCCCTCCTGCCCCCACTCGCAGTGCCCGGTCCTCGATCCCCACCGGAGACGCAGGAGTATTAAAACCCGGGAGCACCCCCCACAGGCTCCAGGAGGTGGATTTTTGTTATTTATTTGTTTGCTCTTGGCTTCGAGGGAGGAAAAAGCGATATCCGAGGAGCAGGAACGGGAAACACCTGGGTCAAGGGTGGGGGGTGGATCCAGGACCCAAGGCTGTGACAGACCAGGGTCGGGGACCAGGGTGGAGGGCTGGATTCTTCCGGTAACTGCTGCCACTCACTTGAGCTTGAGAGAGGAGACCTGGAGCCCCCCCTTGACGCTCAGGTAGCTCAGGTGGCTGTAGCCCAGCCGGTTGGGAAAGGTCAACTCGTACCCATCTGGGAGCTCCACCTTGAACTCGTCACTGTGAAAGGCCAGGGTCACCTGCAGGGGAGGGAAGGTGTCAGGGAGCAGGAGGCTCCCTGGAAAGGGCCAGGGCTCCCCTCCCCCTGCGGGCCCTTGGCCTCACCTTGGTCTCTGACCCGGGGCTGAAGCACAAGTGACTGTCGCGATGCTCTTTCCCCCAGCTGCCGTCCCGGGAGTTGCAGACGATGGTGGATTCCTTGAAGCGTGGGTTAAAATGCAGGCCCAGCTTATCTGTCCCCTGGCCCAGGTTAATCACAAAGCTGCAGGGGAGGGCGACAGGTGGCATCTAGGGGCAGCCCTAGGTAAGGCAGCTTGGGTCAGGGCCTCGGCTGAGATCTGGGTGCTAGACCGAGGGAGTCAGCCTCGGTGCTATGTGACATGTGCCATTCGGAGCAGAGACCAAGGCTGCTGGGGCAGTAGCTGATGGTGACGGTTGAGAAATCAGGGGTGTCTGTCATGGGGAGAGGGCTGCTGCCTTAGATCTCTGAAGACATTAAGGTTGACCATAAAGAGCAGTCGGCCTACAGGGATGAGCCTCCTGTCACTGAAGGTATGCCACCAGGGGTTGGTCTTGGCAGGATCACTACAGGAGCCTGGGTTGGACCTTTGGGGAGCCTGAGAGTGGGCATCCTGGGTGGTGGGCTTCTTCACGCAGAGGCAGGTCTCAGGCCTGCATTTCTGCAAACTTGAGTGATGAGGCGGGAGAAAGGACTCCTTTATCTCTAGGCTCCTACTTCACACATCTGCCCACCACTTTCCCAACCCAAGGGGGCAAAGTTCAGTCCAAGAAATGCCCAAGTTAGCCAGGCACACGCTTGTAATCTCAGCAACCTCAGCCACTTTGCGAGGCCCTAAGCAACTTGATGAAACTATCTCAAAATGAAAAGGGCTGGGGTTCAACGCCTGGTATCAGAAAAGGAAGAAAGAAATGCCAGTATCGTCCTGCAGACTTGAGAGCCTGGAGCAGGTGGTGAGGGAGGTGGGCCGGTGGCGCCCCCTAGTGGCCGTCTCCAGGGGCTCGGGAAAGGCCGGCTGGGGTCCTTCCGCTGGGTTAACAGAGCTGCGACCCTGGGGGTTGGCCCTGCACACAGGCACGGACGCCAGGGGGCTGGGGGAGCCCCAGGGCTTCTCCCCCCGCCCCTTCAGTGGCTGCTGGGGCCAGGGAACAGCACGTGGGTGCTCGGGTGTGAAGGCAGGTCCTGACCCAGGAGTGTGGGAGGGAGCCAGGGTGTCAAAAAGACCCCTAGGCTTGAAGTCACCCTGCGCTGACCACGCCCGGGGCGGTCCGGCCTGTTCCCGCTCCCCGCACCTCGCTCACCCGTCAGCTCCGTCTGCGATCCTGCCCTTGATCTTCAAGGTTGTCCCCGGTTTCAAGTGCAGATTTGTCATCTCCAGTTCTCCCTGGGCCCGGAGAGAAGCACTGCATGAAGAACTCGGAGGCCCTCCACGGCCCCCTCTGCTGGTGACGCCACCAACTTCCTATCCAGTCGGACCGTGATCCCCCTGCCCACGGGAGAGCCTGGGGCTGCAGGGGGGGACGGTGGGATCCAGGCTTCCCAGCGGCCCCGCGGCCCTCTTTCCTTGGCCCTCCACCCAGCCCGACTAGGGAGCCGCTGAGGCCCAGCAGGGAAGCCTCCCTTTGCCCACCAGAACCCGGGGATGCAGAGATGATGCAGAGCAGGACTGTGTCAGCAGCCAGCCGGCCTTACCCCACCCCCGTTGGGAACCTACAGAGCCTTCCAAGTCCTCTGTCCCAGTGGGTCCATCAAAGGCCGCTCCAGACCCTCTTCCCCCGTCCGTGGAGCAGGCTGCGGGGGTATTTTTATTAAAGAGCCCTTGCGGGCGGAGCCCACCTAGCAAGCCCGAGGCCCTGGGTTTGATCCCAGCAAAAGAAAAGAAGGAAGTTGCTAAGTGCCCTGTGACAGATGCTGCCAGGCCCGGCGGTACCAGCGGCCACCTTCAGGCTGATAGCCGAGGGTTCCTGTTTGCGAAGCCCCAAGCATAGAGCCTGGCCCACGGGCAGGCAGATCCAGGGGCCACTGTCATGGTCACTCCCTCCTTATTTGGCATCTCCTTCCCCTCTTCCCCGGGGCCTGGGACATCTACACTCTGATGGCGTCGTCCCTCTCCTGATGGTTAATGGGAGGTCCTCAGACCCAGGCTTCCAAAGCTCAATACCCAAGACTCAGAAAATGTCCATCTACATGTCCCTGATGGGAGCCGCAGGGCGGGGCTGGACAGGCACCAAAGACGGAGCACCCAGGGCAGAGCTTGGTGGGAGCTCGCCCCGCGGAGGAGGAGCAGGGGAGGCGCGCCCAGCCTACTCCCAGAGGAAGGCGGAGCCCAGGAGCGCCGAGCCATCCTGGTGGGCGCTGGGACCGCTGGACCCGCTGGGTGGGACCCTCGGGTTGTGACTGTATGGCGCTGGGCAGCCTCCCTGGCCACAGATGCCAGGAGCTCCTTCCCCCAGCTGTGACAATCGGAAATGGCTCCAGACAATGCCCAGTGTCCCCTGGGGGCCACATTTCCCTGCTTTAGGAACAGTGGGGTTTGGAGGCGGAGGCTTAAGCCCTCAGATTCAGGCTTAATAACAGCTTTTTTTTTTTTTAATTGTACCAGGGATCGAACCCAAGCCCTTTTTTATTTTTTATGTTGAGACAAGATCTCCCTAAGTGGCTTAGGGCCTTGCTAAGTGGCTGAGGCTGGCCGGGAACTTGTGATCCTCCTGCCTCAGCCTCCCGAGGTGCTGGGATTGCAGGCTGGGCCACCAGGCAGAACCTTGCTGAATGCAGCAGCCACACCCAGGCTTTGGGGCCGCGGACTGGAGGCAGGTTCTCTCGGCCTCTCACTGACAGACAGAGGTGGTCGTCCCTGTGCACACACACCTGACACCAGCTGCCAGGAGCCAGCCCCCTCCCCGGCACCCTGGGACCGTCGGGGTGGGTGGGGAGAGCTGGGACTGAGGTGGGAGGAACACCCCCCACCTCCTGGGGGCTTCCTGACCAAACAGGGAACCCAAGCCCCTGAGGGTGGGGGTGGGGCTGCTGCAGGTCAGCGGCACAAGGTCAGGGGTGCATTTGAACAAAGAGGGGTGCTAGGGCCTGGTGTGTGTGCACTTCCAGGACCCTTGTCCCCACTCAACGAAATCTAAGGCCCAGGGGGAGACCGGGAGGCAGAACCAGGGGAGAGGGGTGGGCAGTTCAAGTGACCTGGGGCCAGCCTCATCCTCCTTTGGCCTCAAATTCCCCATCTGTAATAAAAGGGGTTTGCACTAAGTGGTGTCTGGAGGAGGAGGAGGAGGGATGGGGTGCAGAGGGAAGAGAAGACCAGGGGTCTCCAGACCACGAAGGCAAAAGCCTCTCCCAGAGACACAGGCAAGGACAGCGCAGGGACCCTGGTCAGATTCATGTCCTGCGTGGCACTGTCACTGGCTTGGACAGTGTCCTGCCAAAACTCATATCCACCTGGAACCTTCAAAGGTGACCTATTTGGAGTAGGGTCTTTGTGGCTGTAATCAAGATGGGGTTGAACCAGGCGCAGTGGGGAAAGCCTATTATCTCAGCCACTCCAGAGGCTGAGGCAGGAGGATCGTAAACTTGAGGCCAGCCTCAGAAACTTAGCAGGGCCCTAAGAAACTTGGCGAAACCCTATCTCTAAATAAAGAAATAAAAAAGTTTGGGGCTGGGACTGTAGCTCAGTGGCAGAGCACTTGCCTCGCACATGTGAGGCCCTGGGTTCGATCCTCAGCACCTCATAAAAATAAACAAGTAAAATAAAAGCATACTGTAGTATCCATCCATCAATCCATAACAAACAGGCATGGCGGCACACCCTGTGACTCCAACAGCTCAGGAGACTGAGGCAAAAGGACCGCAGGTTCAAAGCCAGCCTCAGCAACTTAGTGAGGCCCTAAGCAATTCAGCAAGACCCTGTCTCTAAATATTTTTTTAAAAGGGCAAGGGGGGGTGGTCCCCAGTTAAAAAAAAAAAAACAAAAAAAGATGAGGTCATCCTGGAGTAGGGTGGCCACTAAACCCAGTGCCGCTGATGTCCTGGCCAGAGGAGGGGTGTTTGGACACAGAGGCCACTGTGTGAGGTAGGACGTCACTCAGTGTGCAGCTGCAGGCCAAGGATCGCCAGCCACCACCGGAAATGGAAAGAGACAGTGGGACGCCGGCCCAGAGCCCCAGGAGAGCGTGCCCGGCCCACACCTGATATCAGACATCTTTAGAACTGGAGAGAATGGACATTCTGAAGCACCCCCCCCATTTGGTGGTACTTGGTGCCAGCGGCCCCATCTAATCCCCAGAGGGTGCCATCGGATTCCCTCCCACAGATCAGGGAGACTGAGGCTCAGAGAGGCTCAGAAACGGGTCCAAGGCCAATGGGGGGGGGCCTGCCAGAAGACCCACCCAATCCCCCCGCAGTTCGCAGATTGTGACCTTGGCCAGTTAGATCCCAGAGCCTGGGTTTCCTGTTTTCCTGATTGTTTGGGTGCTGATGGTGGGGTCCAGCCTTGCCCAGGCTGAGCACCCCCCACCCCACGCTGAGTTACAGCCTCAGCCCCGAGCCTCAGCTTTTCCTCTTTCTCAAGCTCAATGGACGGTAGCGGTCAGCAGCATCGTCATCATTATTACTGACGAGGTACCTGAGGCGAGAGAGGGGACACACAGGCCCAGGCTCCCAGGGGAGGGCGGTGGCCGAGGGATCAGGGTGCCTGGGCTGGGGCTGGGGAGACCGTCTGGCCAACTTCTCTGCCAGGTTGGAGGGGAATCGCAGTGACACTGAACCCAGAGCACCCTCCCCAGCCCTCCCAGGCAGAGACGTGGGCCTCCGCGGGCTGGCATCCTCACCGACATGGTGGCCTCTCTTGGTGACAGCTCCCGGCCGTTCCCAGTCGCTGAGCTCAGGTTCCCACCCCGTGGTCAACCTTTATATCCCAGAATATCACACATTAACTGCCCCAAGGCCATAAATGAGGACTTTGGCCCTGTGTTCCCAAGTCGCCCCCTGCCTGTCCCTGCAGGCACCCAAAGCAGAGCCTCCAAGGGTCCCCGCCCCACCCACCTCCCTCCAGCTCAGCCGCCCTCTTGGGTGCTCCCAGAGCCCTCATGGGAAGCGGCCGCAGCTCTGCCCCCGCACAAACCACACACACCCCGGGCTTGGCAGGCCACCAGCCGTCCACTGAGCTGGCTTCCTCGGCCACAGAGAGCAACTTGCCTAGAAAAGCCGCCCAAGCTGCTGATTTTCTCTGATGTCATGATTCGCTTGGAGCGTCTCTTATTCTCTTCTCCCCTGATTATGTTTCTGTTCGTGTTTGGGAAGTTTTGAAAGCAATATGGGGTAAATCCAAAGAAAGCGTCCCAAAGTATCGACCACCCTTAAAAGTGGAAGAGGAGGCCAGGCGGGGTGTTGCCTCCCCCTAATCCCACGGCTCAGGAGGTTGAGGCAGGAGGATTGCAAGTTTGAGGCCAGCCTCAGATGCTTAGGCCCTAAGCAACTTAGCGAGGCTCTGTCTCAGAATACAATATAAAAAAAGCAGGGGTGTCTGTAGGTCAGCGATCACACGCCCCTGGTGCCATACCTGGCACCAAAAAAGTAAGAAAGAAAAGCCAAGGAGAGAGCAGGAGGCTTGGGAGGTGCGGCAGGTGGGAAGGCTCTGCCCTTTGTTTCTATTTCTTAGTAACCTACGTGACGGGCTTAATGAAGACGGAGACGCAACTGAGCAGAAAAACAGCCCGGACTCTCCCGCCACCAGGAGGAAGCGGGCCCTGCTCGCGGCATCGACCCATTTCCTTGCCAGTGCTTTTCCGTGTGTTTTATTGTAGGCGTCCCCCGCCTGCGCGACTATCCATCCACTTCACTCAGGAAAACGGAAAACCCACAAATCGACATATTCCAGAACTCTATTTCAATGACTGGGAAATATTCTGACTTTCAATGGCTCCACTTACTGAACCAATTCCCTTCTGCGGGGCATCTACATTAATTCTAAATTCTCATTACGTAAAATACGGCCACAGCGGGTGAGGGGGCGCACACCTGTCATCCCAGCGGCTCAGGAGGCTGAGGCAGGAGGATGGAGAGTTCAAAGCCAGCCTCAGCAACTTGG